TGTATTATTTTATAATTCTTTTACTAAGATTTTTTGTTTTTTGTGAGGCTTACGCCTCAATCCGCCTCGAGGCTTACGCCTCGCCTCATAAAGAAAAACCGCCTTTGTACTTAGTTTCGACTTTTTAAACCTTGTGTGTGTCATAATCTTTTTCAAATTTACTACGGTAAATCAATTGTGCAATTTGCAGAATTATTTACTCCCAAAAATAAAATTCACAGTAGTGAAGTTGCCTCATAGAGGATTTCATATTTCAGTCGTTTACTAATTTCAAACACACACAAATACTATTCATGAATTCTCAGGTAAAATGTAAAAGGTTTACTGTTGTTATCAATCATGTAGCGCATCAGTAAACTGAAAATTGGTCTTTAATTTCTACCTTTTTGAAGACCCCAAATGTGGTGGTGGTGGCGGCAATTCTAGTTGTTGTTGGTGGGTTTGTGGTCGGTGGTGATTGAAGTGCTGGGTGGTGTCCGGTGTAATAGTGGAGCAGGGGGTGTTATGGGTGGCTTTGTTTTGGTTTGGTTGTGGTGTGGTGGGATTGGTGAGAAGATGAATATATATATCTTTTTTCTTTTTATTTCTTCTCTTTTTTTATTTTTTTTGTTGGTTTAGTTTTTAATTGTTTTAGGTGGAAAAATGTAGAGTTACCATTTTGTCCTTTCAAAATTGGTCAAATTAAGGTCATATATGCTTGGCTTTTGATCAAATAACGGATCTTTAAATGGAAACCGTCTAGCGGTCCTCATAATGCACATTTTTGAAAGGTTTGGGACCATGTTGCATGTTTTTGAAGTTTTGAGACCTCTGCTTCAAATTTTCATAGACAATTGGACATTGTGGCTAGTAATGAACATTTTAATGTGGCTAATAACTACATCCTAAATTTTTTATGCAGAATTCTAGAAAAAGAGAAAAATGAGCAAGTTAAGAAAGTCATTCCCCTCTGTATTGGTTATTTGGCATGCATCTATGGAGCCTGTAATGGTGTAGCTGGACTCTATGAAAGTGAATGCAA